AGGTGAGCCAGGAGGGACAATGGGAGATGTATTGGGCCCTGCAGGAACAGAGGGGGCAGCTGCTTGATGAACAGCGGGCCCTTGTAAGACTACTGAGGAAGGAATCCAGGAGAGACCACAGAGAGTGGTGAGAAAAGCCCTGCGCCAGGAGGCCAGTGGTGGAGTACAGGGCTTGTTATGCCTGCAGGAGGCGTGGACATTTATGGAGGGATTGTCCCTACTGGGATGGGGGCAAAGTACTTCACCCAGAGCAGGGGAAGGGACAAGGCCCTGGAAAGGCCCGCTGGGTGAGGAAACCCAGGGGACGATGGACATGTTGGGCCTGTGGGCAAAGTGGACACCTGCAGTGGGAGTGCCCATGCCAAGGTGGAGGGTCCAGTTGAGCTCCAGCGAGAAGGGAGGACCCAAGACAGACTATGAGGCCCAAGGCAGCAGATGGGCAGGGAGTCTACTTTGGCTGCTGCGGGCAGGGCCATATTAAGAGGCACTGCCCCCCAGGGAAGGGTGGCTGAAGAAGGATGTGCCTGGGGACCCAGAAGGGGCAAAGATGAGCGTGATCAACACTGCAATGAAGGCGATAGACCTGCCAGAGAGCCACCAGTGTGAGGTGGCAGAAAAGGGGACTGAGACACAGGCTGTGAGGGAGCAGGCTATGACAGGAACCCAGGCCCGCCAGACAGCAGAGTCAGAGCTGGAGAAGGCCAACAAGGAGAAGGAAGACCTGGGCCTGCGGTTGAAGGAAAGTGAAGTGAAGCGAATGCGACTGGCAGGACATCTCTGGGTCACACAGGCTAGAGGACCCCTTACCGCCAGGGCATGGGACTTTGAGGAGAGTGTGTGTGTGTGGCAGGGCAGTCATCCCACTCAAGTTAGGTGTGGTTGCACCCAATTAGGGCACAGCTGGCCCTGTTAAAAGGGCAGGTGGAGAGAGACTCTTGCTCCAGCTGGGGAGCAGAGAGGACCAGGCTGTGTGGGAGAGCAAGCAGGTTACCTGAGACAGAGCAAGTGTACAGGACCTTTGGTCCAATGGGGAGCCTAACTCTCAGGGATGGGTTGGAAGATCTTTGGCCCACTGAGACCCCCATAAGACATGGATGCTGTTCTTGAGATGAAGCTGTGAGCATTTATGACCACAGGAAATACCTGTGTGGGGTTTGAAGGACTAATCACCATCCAAAGCTTATGTTGGAGTTAGGGGGTCATCTCTGGTCAGCTTATTAGCATGCATGTAGGGGATTTTTATTGTTAATTTTTTTCTGTAATGCTTTCCCCTTAAGAATAAATGTGCTTGCTTAGAAAGAACTAAGTGTGGTAATTAACTGTGGCAATTACACTGTGTGCTGTCTCTGATTAGAGAAGTGATTCAGGCCTGCTTAGGAAATCTGTCTTTTGCTGCACAGTACAGTATGGAGACTGTGCAGCCTGGAAATGCCCTGGTCAGGAGGGACAGAGAGGCATGTCTCCACTTGAGAGGTGACATCTGAGGAGCCTAGAGTGGGTGCCCTTGTGGGACCATAGGGGGGTAAATACAGGTGCAGTTGCCTTGAAATGTGACATTCAGGTCAATTTAAAAAAAATAAACTATGCACATATGATATTCCATTTTCAATTCTCATAACTTTTAGACAGCTGAACATTTCCCTCTAGCCTAGCTTATTCCTTAAAGATGTATAAAACAAGCTAATTTGATGTTTTTACCCTGAGCTGTTGAATTAACCTTGCACAAGAATTTGGACAGACACATATGGGAAAGGGAGTATTTTCTGCACATAAGCTTAATTATAAAACAAACAAAACAAACTAATCAATCTTGCTCAAAACTTCTGAAAAAAAATCGCTTCTAAACTGGAAAGCATAGAAAATCCCCCTCACCAACCAAGTCATGAATTAGTCTGACAAAATTAGGAGCAATTGGGAAAAAAAGAGAGGAGGATGAGAAAATAAGCTGAATGTCAAACTTAATTATAGATACACTATACTCACTACAATTTAGAACATTATTATATTGTATGGGTGAAATCCTAGGCCCACTAAAGTCAATAACAGTTTGACCATTGACTTCAGTGGGGCCAAAATTTCACCCTTTATCCACGAAGGAAAACATTAATAAAAACATGAATTCAGTTAAGACTATTAACATTAGGAGTAAAACAGAAACTGGACATCTTTTCTGAGGCAAATGTTCTCCCTCCCACCTCTACTTATAGTTTAAGTGCATAACTGTGCCTCATAATAATCTTTGAAGCATACTTTATGATTATAACTCTATATTTCAGAGAGAAAATTAAATCTACCCATGACACCTCCAAACTTTGAGTAATAACTCTGCATGATATGGAATGAGTATTGTGTGGGAAAGCTTCACACACACTGTACATTATTTAGAATAATATATGGCAGAAATTAAGTTGGCCGATTATAAAAAATAATTCTCAAACTCTTAAATTCTTGATACACTTGGAAGTAAAAAACAAAATAGCTAAAATCTATGAGGATGCTGCCAATGGAATAAAAATAAAAAACAAGTTTTGCACATGCATAAGGAGGTTGTCATGTTATGTGTAAACAGGTGGTCAGGTACATCCTTCAGCAGAATGTGGTCACCTGCCATGAATTATGCAAGCTCATGCACACAGTCAATACAGTATATACAGCAGATTTCACAATGTCATGCACACAACAATGGTGAACCAGATAATCCTACCACAAAGTGTGCAGGCGCTCTCCCCCACCCCGTGAGCCACTGCTAGCTCTGGAGCTGTTGCTGTGGAGCTTGGTTACCCATTTTCATGACATGGGCGGTGTCCTTTGGAGAATCTTGCTCCTGTGGCCGTAAGTTTCCTTATTTTTATAATATTTTAATCAGGTCTGTTACTAAATGTAAAGCAGAGTTGGGCAGGAAGTTTTTAGACATAGGATTTGTAATAATGGAATGTCATTTCATATCATATCAGTCACAGTGTCCTTATAGTAATAATTCTGCCAATATCACAGTTGTAAAGAAAATAAACAAGTGAATGTTCTTGGAACTTTCAGGCCCAGAACACTTCCTGCCAGGCTGTGGTGCTCCACAGGGAGAGAAGATCAGAAGCGGCTAGGAGATGCAATGAAATTCCAGGCTCTCAAGGGACCTGAAGCTGACCATATTTCAACTGACAAATGGACCATTGTGAATTCTGAAGTAGCAAATGTATTATAATACATTTAATATATAAATTAGCCTATTTTATAGAATATTTACAAATTGTTAATTTTCATGTAATATAAAAATTACTTATTTGTATATAGTACATTTTTTTTCCTGAAGAATCCCAAAGTGCTTTACACTATACAAAAATTACTTCACCACTAAATTGGAGTGTAACTGCACATTGCAGTTTAGGACAGGATGTGAAGAATAATATTATATCCAATTAAAACTGCAGGGGGAACTGTAAGTAGGCAGAGCTGTTACCAGATTTAGGACTAGGCCTGGCCTTGGCCTAGGGTTAGCACTTGTACTCTTGTAAACAAATCTTAAATATCTCAGTGTAAAGTCTCATTTGTAAAATTTCGTCTCTAGTAGTACCTCCACTAAGATTATTCTGGAAATAAATATATGAATCACTCTTAACCTGAGCTGCACAATACTGATAACTTCAGTGGGAGTCTAGAGTATTCTGCCCTCTTCTTGTACTGTATCAAAAGAATTGACTATTATATTTTGTGATCGATAAAAAGGGCATGGCTTTCAGCAGTCAAATAAAAAAAAAAAAATGTGAGCCAGGGCAAATGAGATTCAAAGAATTTAAACCAAATCACTTTGTTGTATTGGCTTATATGACTGCTTTATCATTTTGTTCAGCAATTGTACATACACATTATCTGTATGATACTGACCTAGCGAATCATTTGTTTCTAAACACAAAACTGAAAATAAAAATTTACTACTCTGGATTTATCCAATTACCACTTGTGTGTCTTTATTATATAAATATACTTAGAAAGTGAAAACTCAGTTTTGTTCAGTGTGATTTACCATCTTTTTGCAGGAAATGTGATGCATGAGGAATCTAATTTTATACACAAGGGAATATTTTCAAAATGCTGGTGGGGTTTTTACCACATGTATCCTAGGTTAAACCTGGTTCAACTCTCAAATTTCTCCTTACACAAGCAAAGATGTGGCTAGATTGGGAAAAAGCAGAAGATAGTTTGGTTTTGATTAGTTATATGAATTAATAGGTAACACTTTTTTTTTAGTTCTGAGAGATTTTTATTTAAAATGTACATATTTAATGTAACAGAATGAGTTAAGTTTATTAAAAAGGAAACATTCAGAAAAATCAAAATCACTGTTATTTACGAAAGTTCAGTCTTTAACAGTTTTGTTCCATTAGTGTAATTTTATAGTATATGTTATAGGCAGGGTAAGTTAACAGATATTATTTCAACATTTGCACCTTGAAATTGGAGGTTTGTGTATTGTCTTTGAAGACTGCTTATGAACAGTGTCCCTCACCATCCTAGATGCAATTGGTGTTCTGCTCTATGGCAGGTTTCATCTGCATTTAGGGCTTGAGCCTACTCCACTGAAGTTAATTGGAGTTTCGGCATTGACTTCAATGAAAGCAGGATAAAGTCCATATTACATAATAAGATTTTTTTTAAATATTTATTTTTGTGGGCATATCACAACCATTTTTGAAACTGCCCATTGTCTTATCTACCAGGATCCCACCCCCATGTCAGGATGTGGTTATGAATTTCTGACATCTATCTGTTAGACTGCTTGGCAGAGTACTTATGAGTCAAGCAAGTAAATGATATGTCTGGGAACTGTAAGCATAAAAGATCAGTATAAGGCCATAACTTAGTATTCAGCATTCACATAGTACAACACAGTATCCATTAAAAATCAACTTCTAATGTTGCTACAAGTTCAATGTTCTCATGTACAGTTTTTTTAACTGTATTAAAATTACTGCAACTGTTACTGATGTTAGCAACACTCCACTTACCTCATCAGGGTTGGCATTAAAGGTGAGACTGCCCTCATCCAGCTGCATATACAATCTTCTAAAAGAAAATCCTAGAGGTGGATTCTTATTGTATATAGAGCAGTGTCCCCAAGTGGATTTGCACAACCTACCAAAATAGGAATAAATCTAGTATGAAAATACTTGGCATATTGAACAATGGGGATAAAAAATATTGAATAGCTGCTCATTAATTGACAATCAGTCATCCTATGCACTAAATGAGGCAAGGTCCTGTGAAAAGTTATATGGGATCATATAATTAATGACAGTATCATAATCCAAATGCACAAGGGAGCTGAACAAAGATTGCACAGATGATGTTAATTCTGGCATTTCCTAACTTTTGAGTGCTTGACTTTACAACCTAAATAACATTCTTAACAATGTTTTGCATGTAATTGTATAATATACCTCAAAGGGAAAAACAGAAGAGGATTCAACTATATAGTGTACACTGCAGAGCTGATTTCTTTTCTCCTTCCTTTAGTCTTTATGCTATAAAATGGATACACTTTTATTTTAAGGGAATATCTGTGCTTAGTCTAAGATTTCTATGGAACCAAGACAAGACAACAGTAATTACTAGTCACTAATGGACTTCATGTTAGGTCATGTGAGGGGGCTTGCAAGTTTTGGTATTTATATATTTACACAGCATCATTGGGTGCTAGGAGTGCATCACTGCACCTTTTCACTGTAAAGTGTGAAATTGCCAGATGTTTAATTCTTGTGTCCAGGCGTGGTGGTGGTTGTTGGTCCCTTACTTCTTCCTGGCCAGAGGAAGATAAGATGGCAAACTGTTTTTAACAGCTAAAACAAGTTTTAAAAACACACACAATACAAAACAAACGAAACCCAGAATGGAAAGGAAAGGCAGAAGGAGTTCATTGGCTGAAGCAAAGTAGAATGGACCATGGCACTATAAACCTGATCCCCAGCCTCTAGAAGCTCAGTCCAGGTCAGGACTCAGTACTGGCCAGAGCCTGCTTGCAGTTTCAACTAGATGTTCATTTAATTTGAAACTGGGTCTTATGAAAGGATGACTATTATCTGAACTTTGTAAATCAATTTTCATAGAGTTTTAAATTTAAGTTCTCTATTTTTGATTGAGACAATGGATTCCTGACTTTTCTTCTCCTTACTGACTAAATAAGTCTACAATCCACATCACCTTTACTACCACTGCAGTATGACACTTCTGCTTTACTGCATTAATCCTTTCTCTTTGTTGATGCTTTTCCATTTAGATTCTATATGCTGGACTTAGACCCACTGTAACATTCTGCACAACATTTCTGCTGTCAGGCACATAGTGGGCCATGAAAAGCACTTGTGGAGACACCAGTGTGCTAGAGGGCTTATCATCATTTCAGTGCTAATGTGAGCATAGATAACTCAACCTAACTCCTTTCTAGCTTGAGTGAAAATGACAACACTGCAAACAACACTTGAGCAGCACAGACTAGCTGAGTTACTTCTACATTATCAACTCCAGCATCACAATCATTTGAGCTTCAACCACATCTGTTGATGGGCCAGCTAGCTCGAATTTAAAGTACCACTGAACTTGAACAATAATATTTTATGTGTGCAGGGGAGGAGCTGGGTTACGGGCAACCCTTGATTTACACTGCAGTGAAGACAAGCCATTAGTCTTCTTTCTAGAAGTGATACCACAAACAACAGCATGTTTATAATTTTCACACAGATCTGGATTTGCACTGGGTTCAAATTTTCCCCCATCAAGTCTGAATTGACCTGGGTAATATTTGTTTGCAAAAAGACAAATAGGAAATCCTTAAAATGTATAAAACAGTTCATTAGCATGAGTTAAACAGTAACTTTTCACATTTGAAACATTGTTTAAAAGGGTAAACAGTGTGACAACCCACAATCAATCTAGTAATCCTCTTTATTCCATGCAGGTGACCTCACATTAACTTACCCTTGCCAGAGAAGCTCATCATTAGCAAGATCCTGCCAGACACAAGAAGCCAGGCAGAGGTCAGTTGCATTCAGATATGACAAAATGGTAAAACTAAGCTCAGGGGGCAGCATTTCCAAGTTAATGAATCCTTCTTGTTCTTTAGATTTTCTTGTTTTCAACAGATGGTAGATGTCAATTCCTCCTTGGGCTTGTTTACGATGGTTTGTGTTTGAAATGCTGTTAGTAGCTAATCTTCTACCATGCTCTCTGGTGAGATAGCCTTGCCCACTGTAACCTTGGTGTTGCAGCTGCTGGTTCCTAGCCACTCTCCACAGCCCCTGACCCATCTGCGAGCCTGTGGGTCATAAAATCCAAATGAAAGGTTATTTAGAAAAAACATCAATGGGCATTTTTATAGCTGCTAAGGAAATTAGCTTATAAATTTAGAGTTGCAATGGCAATTTATGAAAAGTTTTGGGAAATATCTAGTAGGTACTGAAAAGCTGAATAAAAACAAAGGTAGAACTGACTTTCAAATAGTAAGAGAAGAGTAATCTTGTAAATTATTATGCCATGTTTATCCTCTGTCCCCAGTAAAATGAACAGCTATAGAGAACAAAAAAAGTCAATGAAAACTTAAAAAATAAAATTTGCCAAACATTATTGATGCTCTGGACAGAATTACAAAATTCAGGGCCTGATTCTGTAAATAATACAGAGCACAATGTAAGTTGCTCCATTCAAGTCAACGGGACTTGCAAGAGGGATCACAATGTTTGGGACTAGTGTTTTCAGAATTATTTGTAAAATTAACTCAAATGGCCTGTCTGGAAACAATGTAATGCAGACTGAGACTATAATCAAGAGGTAATGATAAATGGCATGTAGGGTAGTGTGTAATAAAGGCAGGGATTGGTATTAAGATAAAACCTAACAACTTTGGAATTGATTCTAAGTTAGGAAGATTAGCAATTATTGGCGAAGACAAAGAAATAATACGAAGATCTACTACTATTTATTTATTTAGACACATTGTGTCTTAGTCTTCAAAATGCTTCAAAAACAGAAGGTGGATTCACGTTAGCTCTCATGGTTATAAACACAAAAACGTAATTTTATGTGTGTTGTAAACAAAATCCAATTACAACTGAGTCCAAGAACTATGTTTTTTATAGAAATGCCAAATACTATCAGATTTGTGATAAAATCAAGTGCTGACAACTCTGCAACATATTTGTAATGTGATATGGCTATAAAAAGACCAATCTTGAGCTGCATTTAAAGAAGCATCGCTACACAAATTATAGACTCATAGACTTAAAGGTCAGAAGGGACCATTATGGTCATCTAGTCTGACCTCCCGCATGATGCAGGCCACAAAAGCTGACCCACCCGCTTTCCCTTAACTCAGCTGTTGAAGTCTCCAGATCGTGATTTAAAGACTTCAAGTCGCAGAGAATCCTCCAGCTTGCGACCCCTGCCCAATGCTGCGGAGGAAGGCGAAAAACCTCCAGGGCCTCTGCCAATCTACTCTGGAAGAAAATTCCTTCCCGACCCCAAATATGGCGATCAGTAGAACCCCGAGCATACAGGCAAGATTCTCTAGCCAGACCCACATTTTACCAGTGATGGCACTTTATTACCTAATTGACTAAAATCACATTATCCCATTAAACCATTCCCTCCATAAACTTATCTAGCCTAATCTTGAAGCCAGAGAGGTCTTTCGCCCCCACCGTTTCCCTCGGAAGGCTGTTCCAAAATTTCACCCCTCTGACGGTTAGAAACCTTCGTCTAATTTCAAGCCTAAACTTCCCCACGGCCAGTTTATATCCATTTGTTCTCGTGTCCACATTAGTACTGAGCTGAAATAATTCCTCTCCCTCCCTGGTATTTATCCCTTTGATGTATTTAAAGAGAGCAATCATATCCCCCCTCAGCCTTCTTTTGGTTAGGCTAAACAAACCGGGCTCCTCGAGTCTCCTTTCATAGGACAGGTTTTCCATTCCTCGGATCATCCTAGTGGCCCTTCTCTGTACCCGTTCCAGTTTGAATTCATCCTTTTTAAACATAGGAGACCAGAACTGCACACAGTACTCCAAATGAGGTCTCACCAGCGCCTTGTATAATGGAAGGAGCACCTCCTTGCCCCTACTAGAAATACCTCGCCTAATGCATCCCAAGATCGCATTAGCTTTTTTAACAGCCGCGTCACATTGCCGGCTCATAGTCATCCTGCGATCAACCAGGACTCCGAGGTCCTTCTCCTCCTCCGTCACTTCTAACCGATGCGTCCCCAGCTTGTAACTAAAATTCTTGTTAGTCATCCCTAAATGCATCACCTTACACTTCTCACTATTAAATCTCATCCTATTATTATTACTCCAATTTACAAGGTCATCTAAGTCTCCCTGCAGAATATCCCGATCCTTCTCTGAATTAGCAATACCTCCCAACTTTGTGTCATCCGCAAACTTTATCAGCCCACTCCTACATTCGGTTCCGAGGTCAGTAATAAATAGATTAAATAAAATCGGACCCAAAACCGAACCTTGAGGAACCCCACTGGTGACCTCCCTCCAACCTGACAGTTCCCCTTTCAGTACTACCCGCTGCAGTCTCCCCTTTAACCAGTTCTTTATCCACCTCTGGATTTTCATATCGATCCCCATCTTTTCTAGTTTAACCAATAATTCCTCATGCGGTACCGTATCAAACGCTTTACTAAAATCGAGGTATATTAGATCCACCGCATTCCCTTTATCTAGAAGGTCTGTTACTTTCTCAAAGAAGGAGATCAGGTTGGTTTGGCACGATCTACCTTTCGTAAACCCATGTTGTAATTTGTCCCAATTACCATTCAACTCAAGGCCCTTAACTACTTTCTCCTTCAAAATTTTTTCCAAGACCTTGCATACTACAGATGTTAAACTAACAGGCCTGTAATTACCCGGGTCACTTTTTTCCCCCTTCTTGAAAATAGGAACCACGTTAGCTATTTTCCAGTCCAACGGTACCACCCCCGAGTTTACAGATTCATTAAAAATTATCGCTAAGGGGCTTGCAATTTCTTGCGCCACTTCCTTCAATATTCTAGGATGAAGATCATCCGGTCCGCCCGATTTGGTCCCGTTTAGCTGCTGAAGTTTAGCTTCCACCTCTAATACTGTAATGTCATTCCCTCCTTTTTTATTCCCCTCTGTCCTGCTCCCTCTATTCCTAAGCCCCAAAATTAGGGAGGTAATAGTTCTTCTCAGTGTAGCTCAGGTGTGACTGCACCTGGATTCGTGTGTTTGATTCTGGGCATTCTACTTAAAATATATTGAATGGGAGTGAGTTCACAGAAAAACAATTATCAGATGGCTAGGCTGGAGAGTCTGAAGAAACCTAGAAGAGCTAACCAATGTGAAAAAAACCTTGAAGAACTAAGGAATGATTAAGATGAGAAACATGGTAAAGGTCTACAAATATCTGAAGGATGTATTCACTATGGATAGTGAAATTATTTGATGATGATGAAAGGGGGTATAGCTAGAAGTAATGGGATGAAGCTAAGAAAAATTTAGGCTGAATTTTTAGAAACATCCTGACCGTAAGATCTGTTATGATGTGGAACAGTTTTCCAAGAAAGTGATAGAAGCCCCTTTGCTTAGAAAACTTAAAAATCAGAGTAGGCTGAACACTAGAAAATGTCATTTTCTGTTTTCCTTCACTCTCCCAGCTAACACAAGTTATTATCTTCTTTTCTTTTTTTAAAGATTGCAATATATTCTTCTATGGCAAGTTTTAAATATTATGAGATTTAGAAAGGGTGGCTTGAGGACTCCATTTTTTTAATGTGGAATTTATGTTCCAGTACTAAAGAGAATCTTAATCACAACACAAGACGTTGGTCAAAAGGCATCCAGGCCTTTCTTTTTATCACAACCAAAGTTGTACTAGGCTGTGCCCTCTTTTTACCAGCATCTCAGATGTACAGCAGCTGTGTATGTGACTTCTTTTCTTACTTATTGCTAGTTAGTTATGCTGTAGAGTATAGTAAATGCAGCAGATTCTGAAATTTAATTCAGGAACCTTCTAAATTAGACACTTAAATCTCAATGACAAATATTTCAGTAATAATTTGTATTTAATCAAAGGGACAAGGAAAATAGTTACTCACAAAGTAGGCCACTTGAACTCACAACCCAAGCAAAGGAACGTTCTTTGAATTCTAGTATGTTTTAGAACTATACAGTGAAACAGTCTTATTTTTATACCCCTGCTATGATAGCAGAACATAAATTAATGAACACTCATTCCTGAGCTGTGCAGTCTCCTGTTGCTGACTCACAAAAAAGAAAAAGAAAAAAAAGACATAAAAAAGACACATCTGAACTGACTTGTGCATTTGGACACTGGTCTGGTAGGAGCTCACATGCATGCTGTTATTATTCATATTCAGGTAGCACCTGGAAATCAGAATCAGGGATCTATGATGTTAAGGGCAGACATATGATGTAATGGCTCCAAAAGAGCTTAAACATGTAACTAGTAGGAAACTAACAAAAAGAGAAGGTGGAGGAGAACGAGGTTAATGGTCACAAAACCAAAACATTAAATTGTTTTAGAAGTTTGCAAAAGTGGGATATTCAAACTACTTTGTTTTTTATTTCTGCCTGTTTCTACTTTTTGAACTTTTGCATGGTTTCTATTTCTACTGGAACCTCTGTTTGGATTTTTTTTCTGTTTAAACCTCTCTTATTTTTACATAAACACCTCTCTCTTATATATACACATCTTAGTGGGGAGTGGGTGCTTTTAGAAGGCTAAAAAACACTGATGGAGGGAGGGGAAAGATCAAAGAACTACAGTTCAGAAGATCTTCTCAGAGGACACGGTCACTGCATATATACACTGGTGGGGATATATTAGACTCTACAAGAGGCTATTAGACTTCGATGGGCTTAAGACTTAAGTTTAACATTACTGTTTATCTGTTAGCACAGTAATCTATTCACTCACAAAGACATCAGAAGTTCTGAACATAAAGAGCCTCTAACATTTGCATCTACAATTTTTGCAAGTTTAATTACTTGTTGCCAATGCTCAAATTTCAGCCATCCCCAGCCCCTTGTGTAGTCTCCCATAGGTCCAGAAACACACCAGTTTTCTAAAACCTGTACACATACAGTGCCTAGCACAAGGGGACCCCTAATCTCAGTTGGCGTATCTAGGCACTACTATAATACAAACAGCAGCAGCAATGCCCTATAGAGATTAATGGAAACAGTTAATGCCTCTTAGGGTCAATCCTTCCCTTTCCTTTGTGGCCACAAAACAAATGGAGTTCCACTAGACTGCAGCAACAGGAGA